AATATTAAAAAAATAAATAAAAAAGAAAAAAGACATACCCGCTGAGTTTCTTGCCAGTTCTTTTCAGGACGGAGGCTAGTTTTTGTGAATTGCCGGTAGTTCTTTTTGTCATTCAACAAGTATGTACTTTCATTTATGTTGAATAATTTTTTTTTTATTTAATTTCAATAGATGTTTATCTGAACCCCTTTAATAGACAGTCGTGGTCTATTTATCCTCCTTGCGTGGATAATCCTCAATGCTGAAGGTCGTGGCCTCATGAGGCTTTCTTGGAAAAATACACATGGTGGAGTCCCACATTCTTTTCTCGAGTATTTCAGAGGGCGGATACCTACTTCAGACAATTTTAAAACATGTCCCCTTTGGGCCACTTGACGAATGACTATGATTGTGACTTCCCCGTTTATTGAATAATATTTATTTAGTTGGCAATAACTAAATAGATAAGTTTGTTTCTCAAATAAATGAATAACAAACATTGAACATAAATTTATCAGCAATTAATTCTTAGCTCAATACTTTCCTATTCCAAATTATAATGATACAGTCATTCAATTTTAACTTAAGCGGAAATTTAAAGGTACTATCAATAAAAACAAATATAAAAATATTTTTATACGGCTCTGTCGATTCTAATATTGTGATGTTGAAATGCAGCTAGCGCTTACTCTAGGGAGAGAATTTCAAAAATGCACATATGAGAAAATTTGTAATTTTTTATTTATTTTAGAATGACATATCGAATTTAAAATTACATTGTCAATAAGAACTGCTGACAGCGGTATTACAATTCAAGAATTGGTAGATAATTTCTTTTTTTTTTTGGATAATTGGTTGAAATTAAAATTGTAGACCAAGTATTCTCTTCCTGTATTGATGTTCTGTTTCAGTAAACAAAAATAGACAGCTTCGAAGTCTATATGAGTGGCGTGAATGTTTCAAATATTCTGTAATTCGTTCAAATAACAAACAATTTCTTTTACGTCGTGCTGTAGAAACTATACGCTAGTTTCATAAAGTTTTTTTAGAAAGGTTGAAAATCCTTTTATTGTCATCATATTCCAATTGATTTTAATTTTTCTTTTTGGTTTTGCACTCCCGTGATTGGCCTGTTCTAATTGCGCTTTCCGACTATTCCTCGAAGTAGAATTATCCTTTTTTTATTATTATTTCCCTCTGAGTATTAAATACGCCCTGTATTGGCAGTCCACACGGCGGTCACTGACGCTCTGCATATTCCTCTCACTATGTACTCTTTAATAACTGCTTTAATATTAGGATATTTATTCCTTAAATGAGTAGTGCCTATTAAAGAGATCTAATCAATAATTCATGAATTACTGGACGACTTTGAAGTCGAAAACTAAAATTATTCCCAGCAGCGAACCTATAAGCTCTTATATCCCAGTAGCCTCGACTAGTCTCACTTCACCTTGATTGGTGGTGGAACTCACGGGGCTCAGCCTGAGAGAACTTATTAACAACTGCCCTAGCAAGAGTAGTGGTTCGCTGAATCTATCACCGGATTGGAATCGCGACTCACTGAGAAGATCTGACAAAAAACTTTGTAGGCTGTGTCTATAGGCTAAGTCGCGCAAATTTCAAATTCTCGAGTTCGACGAGAACGGTGACCGGTGTTTCAAATGCCCAAAAATTGCTGTTGAATATGGCGGTTGACTGAGCGTGGTTACTGAGTTACAAACTGAGTTTTCATGGGCCACCAAACGGGCTCGGCTGGATCGCATAGCAGCGGACTGATAGGCTGAATAGTAAAGGCACTGACTTTTTTTTTATTGCTTCGATGGATGGACGAGCTCACAGCCCACCTGATGTTAAGTGGTTACTGGAGCCCATAGACAACTACAACGTAAATGCGCCACTCACCTCGAGATATAAGTTCTAAGGTCTCAGAATAGTTACAACGGCTACCCCACCCTTCGAACCGAAACGCATTACTGCTTCACGGCGGAAATAGGCGGGGTGGTGGTACCTACCCGTGCGGACTCCCAAGAGGTCCTACCGCCAGTAAAACACTGACTTCTTCTGAACACTTGTATTTCGTCTGAATTAGTACATTTTACATTTAATTATACTGAAGACGCGACCGTTCGCGTGAGAGGCGCTTGAGCAGAGAGTACAGAGTAATGAATGACAAAAAACTGCACATTAACATAGATTATTACGGCTTCGTACTGATTTTATACAGATAAACAATTTCGTTTTTAAAGATTAATAATTACATATGAATTTGCGTGAACAATGGCTAAAAGTACTAAGAGTCTACCGAGAGGATTTGAAACGACAATTTTGGAGTGAGGGCAGCTGTTTATTGTTCCTTTGTTTGGGTCAGAGATAAAATTTGTGGCGGCTGCAATAAGAGGACTATCTTGTCGCGCCGGTGGCTCGAAGAAGCGTTCTGACGCTGTCTTCAGTTACTTACGAATCAGTTCTAAAGCTCATGTAAATGGTTCTCGACATTTATACGGTAGTGGTGTCTAAGTGGTGTTTAACAATGTGTACCACCGCTACGAGGGCGGCACTGAAAATTTCGGGAATTAACGAAGTGACACAACATTACTATTTAAAAATGTATTTATTGCTTTTCGAAGTATTCTCCGCGAAATTTGACACATTTTTCCATACGATGGAACCAATCATTGAAGCAAACATTCCATTCGGAAGTTGGGGTCTCCAAAATGGCCGTTTTGTAGGCGTCCACAGCTTCTTCAGGTGATGAAAATCTCTGTCCACGCAATTTATTCTTTATTTTAGGGAAAGTATAGAAATCATTAGGGCTTAGGTCGGGGCTGTACGGCGGATGGTCTAATAATTCTATGTTTTCTTGCTCTAAAAACTCTTTTGTTCTGTGCGCGGTGTGAGAACTCGCATTGTCGTGATGGAGGATGATGCGGCGGTTGCAGTTCTCTTTACGGAGTTCAGAAACGACCTGTGGCAAACAAATGCTAGCATACCATTCTGCATTAACCGTTCTTTGTCCCTCAAGAGGAATAGTCGTAACATGGCCGGTTTTGGAGACAAACGTGGCCACCATTTTTTTTGCAACACTCCGTGAACGAACAATTTTTGTTGGCTTTAACTCATTTTCGAACACCCAAACTCGTGACTGGTTTTTTGTTTCGGGTTCGTACGCGTATATCCAGGATTCGTCACCTGATACAATGTTGTATACAGCATTTGAGGATCCTGCGTGGAATCTTTCGAGAGTTCTGACGCACCAAGTAACGCGAGCCGCTTTTTGCTCTTCACAGAGCGAATGCGGTATCCATCGGGAAAACAACTTTTTTACACCTAATTGTTCATGCAAGATTATTTGTATTTGACTCATGCCAATGTCTAAAGTTGCCTGAATTTCGCGGTATGTCACATGTCGATCTTCCTCAATCAGCTTACGCACAGCATCAACGTTTTCTTGGGTGACTGCAGTTTTTGGACGACCTTCACGGGGATCATCACTAAGCTTGACACGTCCACGTTGAAACTCAGCAAACCAGCGATAAATTGTGGTTTTGGATGGGGCTTCATCACCAAATGCAGAAATCATCGCTCTTGAATTTTTTCGAGTCAATTCCATTTTCTCAACGACTAAACAAGTTTGACAAAACCTCGTGTCAAGACCGAGAATCTTTTTTTAAATAAATAAATGGTATTCGATTATTAAAACCAAGGAGTTTTCAATTAAAAAGATTTTAATATGACAGGAACAGTGGAAATATTCCATTCCCGATACTTTTAGTGCAGCCTAGTAGTCAAGCGTGCAACTGCAAACCCTCACTATCGACGTCACATTTACATAGTATTCAAATGTATTTGACAATACAAATTAAGCGGCCGGTGCAAACCGGACTCAAAGAAGAAGATGCATGTCGCTTAAATTTCAGAAAAATATAACACTTCTGAACATCAACAAATTAATAATCATCTTTTATATCCTGTTTAGGAAAGGCTTTTCGAACATGTAGAGTATGTTTTCAATAACAAAAAAAATATTTCATAGTATAAAGAATTTCATTTTTATTTGTATTCGTTTCTTTAATGGTAATCACTGGTGGTAGGACCTCTTGGGATTCCGCACGGGTAGGTACCACCACCCCGCCTATTTCCGCCGTGAAGCAGTAATGCGTTTGGGTTCGAAGGGTGGGGTAGCCGTTGTAACTATTCTGAGACCTTAGAACTTATATCTCGAGGTGGGTGGCGCATTTACGTTTTAGATGTCTATGGGCTCCAGTAACCACTTAACACCAGGTGGGCTGTGAGCTCGTCCATCCATCTAAGCAAGAAAAAAAAAAATGTGTTAATTTTACATAGCTCTTTGTTATTGTGAAGCTAACGCACTCACAGTATCATCTCTCTCACAGTATCATCAACTTTTAAATGGTTGTCCAAGGGATATAGGGTATAATTTGAATCCCATAGACATAACCCAGAGAGCTTTGTCGCTGAATCTTCTCAGTGAGTCGCGATTTCGATCCGGTGGTAGATTCTGCGAAGCACTGCTCTTTTTAGGGCTGGTGTTAGCATATTTTCTTGGGTAGAGCCCGTGAGCTCACCTACCGGTCCAAGCCATTTAGTCTACCAACGATTAGGTAAGGAGAAAAAGCCGTTATAATTATTTAAGCTATGTTCTAACACCGGCTTGTGATGTCTATTAAGACCAGTAATGTTTTTTTAAACAAATTATGTCATAATCAAGTTTAAGATGTTTAACAATTGTACGATTTTGTTTTTATTTATGTTTAAAATAAACACATACATTTAAAATGATCCCGACTAAAATATATTGTTTTGTTTGATCTTGATTGAATAGTGTTGTGTTTTGCAAATTTTTATATTAACTTAACATTAAGTTTCGCAAAACACTAGAGAAGCTATGAATATTTTAAATCAGTATTGAAGCGTTGGTTATTACATGAAATGATGTTTTTATAATATGCATTAATGAAAAATTTCAGAAGAGGAGATAAATTTGATAAATTACTTACCGAATATCAATCATGGTGAAACTCTCTAAGAAGAGTTGTTGCTTTTCAAAATTATATTTCGCAATATTTATGAGTTTTCATTCAAATTTATTTATACATCTCATCTCATATCAATTTTATCCAGGTTTCTAATTCGGGTTTCTGAAAAACGTTACTATTATACTAACATTAATAAGCAATTTCAAAACAAAAATGAGTAATACACTGAATATTCGTCATATAAAATGACATAAAATTATTTCACGAAAAATAAACCACATGTAACTTAAATAGTATGATAAATTAGTGTGAAACTTCACTGATTAAGCAATTATAATGTTACACAGCGCATTAACTGAGTTTAACGATTTTTCTTTTAAAAAATTTCATTCTCTCGATTCGTAACACTACCGCGAATTATTATTTTTTGTTGTTGCAAATTAGAGGGATAACGAAAACGTCACTACACTCTCAGTTCTAAAACGGTACTGTTTGTACCACAGAACACGCTTCCAAATGAGTGTTGCCACAAAGCAAGCCTAATTTCCAAAATAAGATCAAAAAGGTCATAGAACTTTGTCATAGTCAATGATAAATTAAGAACATTTTTCCTGATTTTCTTCCAATGTTATAAAAATCTAAGTGAATTTCCTTGTAATGTCAATTATTAAGAGAGTTATTATGTACTTAATCCAAATATCAAGATTCCTAGTTAACTATGAACCGATATAAGTTCAATGTGGTGTCGGATTGGAACATTAGTGTTAGTTGTAATGTTTTATGTTTCCTGTCTACACATTAACAATTTTGGGGTGATAATTTCACATGAAGATCATAACTAAGATACTAGGCTTTGTGAATCTGTGGTAATTATATAATTCGGATGTATATTTTTGAAAATATAAGCGTTACAACATTATGTTATTTTCTTTGGATTTTTCGATTAGTAGATATGCAATTAAAATATACATGATGACAAATCTCGCTTTACTGACTTTTGTTTTATTATTTACGACTATAAAATTATTTGGTATAATGAAATTCTAATGTTGACGAATAACACCGTAGTTGTCCGTTTACACGAAGAACTAAGTACAAAAATACGAAATTAAGAAAAACAATAAACGCGATATTAACTCATATAAAACCAGCTATCGTGGTAATTTTGAGTTCAAGTGCCTATCACTAAAATGGAAAATCAATGGTGGCTGAAATACTGATGTTTCAAAATTACGCAATGTACAAAAAAAGTAAAAATAAAGGGGGCGCGGTCGCCGACTACCTTCGTTCTGGAATGCGGCTATATACATGAACCTATCAAAAACAATATATTTATTAATAGCTCAGTAGATGAATGCATTGCATTTATGACCGGATAGCATTTGGTTAGCGTTTAGACTTCAGGAAATGCGCGTGTACATATGGTAAGCTCGATATTTAATCAGTTTACAAAACATCGTTAAACACCGCGTAAATATTACTAAAATACGCCTCCAATTAACATTACTGGTGGTAAATTTTATTACTGGTGGTAGGACCTCTTGTGAGTCCGTGTGGGTAGGTACCACCACAGTGCCTATTTCTGCCGTGAAGCAGTAATTCGTTTCGGCTTGAAAGATGGGGCAGCCGTTGTAACTACATTTGAGACCTTAGAACTTATATCTCAAAATGGGTAGCGCATTTACGTTGTATATGTTTATGGGCTCCAGTAAACACTTAACGCCAGGTGGGCTATGAGCTCGTCCAACCATCATAACATTGTGGTAAACATCGGTAAATATATTAATGGACCCACATAAATTCAAGTACGTTCAACTAACCAAAATAAGTCGTTAGTTAAAGAGTGCATCTTGGAAATATCTCCCACTGCTTCCACTGTGATTCAAAATTTATTCCATATTACATAAATTTAATCATTACCAGATTAATTAAAAACAAGTACTTAATTCTTTGTTATGGAGCATGGGTGCCGCGATACCTTATAGGTGGTTAGTTACCTTCTCCACCAATCAAAGTGTAGGATGGCCTCCATAGCAACTCATTTAGAACTTCGACACTATGATTCTGAGTGGTCCACTTTGTATACGGGCTCCGATAACTACACAGAACCACTTTAGCCAAATTTGCACTAAAATTCAGCAATATGTTTATGAAATTTATCGAATAACTAATAATTATCAATATTTTTATGTGTACTTACAGCTTGTTGCTAGATTTAGAAACAAAAGTACAAAAATATTTGTTTCAATGATGTTTATTTTTCTATAATTATTTATTGTTTTTTTTTTGAATGATTTAATAGTTGGTTAATTTTATTTAAAAAAATACTTGTGTTTACCACGAATAACATTTAATTTATTTTAGTAACTGTAAGAACTTACAATTCAATAGTTTTGTTAATTTTATTATATACAACACATATATAACATATTAGAACTGATTCAAATAAAATAATCTCTTTCGATAATATTTAAAACAGCTTTAACTGTCACCTTAAGATAATTTCCTACATAAATGGATGGAGGAATATGAAATTGCCCACACTTTTAAAGAATATAGAGAAGGATATCAGAATGTATTTTTTTTTATTATGCTTAAAATACATCAAATCAGGAAAAAAACCTTACACACACTACTACGTATATGAAACACACGCGCATGCATACTATTTGTTTATTGTCAAACTTTTCTTATTGCTTATAGTCTGTGATCAAATTCAGAATAGATTAAATATTGTTAGTCTTTAGTAATATTTATCTAAAGTGTAATCTTGGCGAAATCTGTCATTATAGAAGTATAATAATCTTTGACAATAGAATCATAATAGCGTACAAACTTCAATTAATTAAAGTCGAATTTCGACTACCGGAGGACCACTAGTATAAATAAATTCTTAAATTGTCAAAATGAAAAACAAAATCAATATTCTACAATTTCTGTTTATATAATATATTGGCAACATCTATAAGGAAAATAAGCTTAAGGCGGGATATCTACGTAGAGACCTGCTGGAGAAGTATGAGAATTTTAAATGAAACTTTTGCTACGTGAAAATGATAGACGACTTGATTGTGTACATTCCTGTTTAATCGTATCTAGGTTCACCGAAGTTCATTCCATAATTTGTTTAAAAATATTTTTGAAGTGAAAACTTCTTTAGAATCGTTGTGATTTCAAACCGGATGCAACGGAAAAAACGACAGGTAAGAGACACAAATACAAAAATGTGTAGGATGAAGCCAGCAAAGAATGAGACAGAAATATACATACTATTTAATACAGCGCCATCTGTGAGATTTTTTAATACTAACGTGTGTATGAAAGCTCTTGTAGTGAATTTTAATTTAGGATTATACGTGAAATTAAAATATCAATTCACAGAGGGCGCTACCTTACAATTATTTACTAATGACAAAATTTTACATATACTTAAGACGTTTAGGATAATTGTATTTTAATTTTGGAAGGTTTCACTTCTACCACGTGTGAATTGCACACATGGATTTTTTTTGTAGTATTTTACGTAACGAGATTCTTAATTATATGATTTACCGCACCCCACAAGCAGCAGTCTATTTTGATACGCCTGATCTATATTATTTAAAAAAACTTGATACGACCTTGCCTTCTTAATATAATTGTTGGTAGTTCTAAATTAGGCTTGTATTTAAGGATTTTTGCTTTAATTAAGACAAAAACAATTACCAGTTACGTCTTGGTTTCAAAACAAAAACTAAATTACGATCAATACTAAAATGTGACCTATTTTTATTTCCACAGTATAACAAAGATGGAAAATAGCGGTGTACTTTATATGACAAATATAAAATACACTATATAATGCAATAATTCATGAATATGCTACAAGAAACATTTCAAATTTAAAATTATCCTATGTAGGTACTACATTACTGCTGTAGGTACACGAATGAGCTACATATCCTTGTCATGATATTATGATATGACCAATTAAGGCGTAGTTTTCATAGTTTACTTATTATTTTTCTTTACCAGATTATCTTCTATGGGTTCCTTTTGTACCTTTGCTTAGTCCTAGTTCCTGTACCAAATTCTAGTGAAATATTTAAAGTTTTCTTAGAATTTTGAAGCGTTAATTCTTTGCCAACATTTATAAGAGTATGTTGTCGTATGAATAGCCAGCCTAAACAGTCCGTCGCCCTTCTTCGGGGTTACATTACTTACGCGCCCCCACTACAAGCTGCAGACTTTAGTGCAATTACAGACCCAGGTCTCTTCAGGGCAAGGTTTTAAAATAAATACCACTTTTATTTATTTAGAAAATCTACTTGGATTAGTATTTTTTTGTTTCCTACCTATTCGCTGGTAGCCTAAGGGGCTATTCCAGCTACGCCCGGACAGTAGTTGAGCTCACGGGCTCAACCTGAGAGAATTTGCAAATACTAGGCTTAGCAAGAGCAATGCCTCGCGTGAAACTACCACCAGATCGAATCGCGACCCAATGAGAAGATCTGGTGGAAGATCACCGGGAGTAAATCCGGGAGATCCGACAAGATGTTGTTCGGACGACAGCACCTTTGCGTTGCTACATCGCGATCCAATAAGTTTTGTAGTTTAAATATTTGAAATACCTAGATAGATACATAGACTATCAGTCAATGTCTAGTAATTTTTAAGGCTTTACTTGGTCATTGATAAAATAAAAAAAACGTATGTGCAATTCACTCGTGGCAGAAGTGAAACCATCAAATTTTTGGCTTCAAGATAATGAGACGAATGTAAAATTTCGGAAAGTGGATAATTGTAGGTTTTCGTAATGATTATAGTGATACAAAGTTTGATAATTATTTTACATTTTATTCGCATATATTAGGTAAATAGATTTATTCAGAATGTATTAAGTACGAATATTAGGTATGTACGAAGCAGATCACAAAGAGAATCATGAATATAACAAACACTGTACAACGCTTCCCATTTCATTCTCTCCCACGTTAAATCTTATGAATTTATGTATCTGTCTCTTTTTACTGTCGCTTTTTCGTTTCATCCGCTTTCGAATCACAATAATACTAAAGGGCTTTCACTTCAAAAACCCAAGCAAATGTTTGGCGCACTATTAACGCTTTCGTCCTTTCACAGTTCGAAGTAAATTCTAATAATTTATTT